TTCTCTCAGAATGTTATTTTTATTTTATTTTATACTTCCACATTTTTAAATTACATTTTAAAAAAATATTTTTATGTGAAAAAGCTAATAATGGTACAATTAGCTAACAAACAATAATTAAGGCATAAACATACGAAATGCGTGCAAACAATAATGAATAGATGCATGTATGCTAATAGATGCTATGCACGATGATGAAATACAATTTTAAAATTGAGTCTTTAAATATAATGAGACTATCTTGACTCCACAATATTTAGACAGAGTTTAAGTGTGATTATTTATATTTAAGATATCATTTTTAGTGATTTTTTTTTTACTTTTTCATTTAATCTTATTATTATTGCAGGTTAAGGAATCGTATGCAAAATTTAATGAAATAAAAATTTTGGAATACCCCATCTTTTAGGCAGTATTTGAGAAAAAATTACTTTATATGGGATTTTTAAACGTATCGTTAGAATTTTGGGATAGTTTTGGGTGTGGGCTTAGGCCGATGTTTTTAGGGTTTGAATGATTTTTTCAAGTGATGATTTGGGGTTGAGAGTCGAATTTAGGGTTTGAGTTAAATTTAGGGTCTTGGTAGATTTTTTGGACTTAGAGTCTTATTTTGGGGTTTTAAGGTTTTAGGATTTTAGGTTTTAGAGTTTTGAGGTTTCAAGGTTTAAGGTTTTACGATTTTGAGTTTTAAGGTTTTAGAATTTCGGGGTTTTAAGGTTTAGAGTTTTAGAATTTTAAAGTTTTGATTTTTTAGGATTTCAAGGTTTTAAGGTTTAGGGTTTTAGAGCTTCGAGGTTTTAGGATTTTGGGGCTTTAGGGTTTTGGAATTTTAAGGCTTTAGAATTTTTTCTTGTGAGAAAAATGGGAAGGATTAATAACCCGAACTTTTTCAATTATCCCTAACATCTAGGTAAACTTTCAAAACAAGTTCATTTTCATAATTCCCTTTTTTCATTAAAAGTTCTACTTTCAATGCAATGAGACAAAATGAATGATGCAGATGTGAATTAAAAATTGAAAGAGCCAATTTAATCCATGCTATGCATATTTAATCCTCTACTATTTTCTTTCGATTTTTTTCCAAAATAAAATAAAAAAATAAAAAATAAGCAATTTTGTTTTATTATTATTATTATTATTATTATTATTATTATTAGTATTTGTTTGTAAAGGAATTATATTTATTTTATTATTTTAATTTTTAAAATTATTTTTAAATTTTTAATTTCTCAAAATGTAGGCAGAATTAAAATTTTCAAAACACGATTTGAATTCCCTCCAACATCTAGGTAGGGTTTCCAATGCCATTCATTTTTTTAAACATTATTCTATTTTAATTTATAAAACCCTATTTTGAAAGTCATTTTTGAATCACAAAATTTCTACATTTCATTTTTTATTCAAACATCATGCATCCACAAGTAAATTAATTTTCAAGAATATATCTATGTGTATTTTATTTATTAATAAATTATTATTTTTCACAATTCATAAAGCAACATTAACAAACATAAAATATTAGAGATATGATAAAATAAATAGCCTAAAAGAGAAAAAATATACAAGTTTTGAATCTGTTAATTTAAAGTTATCAATTAATAAAAGTAATTGAATATATATATAAATAAATAAATAAATTTAGGCCTTAAAATCAAATATTTAATTTCTAAGTTTTGGGTTTTAAATTCAATCTTGCACTTTGAGCTTTTGAGCCTATATAGCTTAATTTCAAATTGATCCAAACTAAATTGGACTAGGCTTTGGCCTATACAAAAACAATACAAAAATAAATAATTTGGAGTTCAACTAGAATACTTAAATTGGCTTAAATTGAAATGTTTAAATCATGTGTAAAAATCAAACAAACTCGAATTGATTAGACAAAATTAGGTGTTTACATATATTTTATTTTGTTCGAAAATTTTTTATATATTAAATGGGCTTGTCTTAACATTAGGTTCTAAAATTGTTTTTGGATCAATTAGGTTTTAATTGTGAAGTTGAATTTTAAGCCCAAATTTAAAGGCCCATAAATATTTTATTATTTATTTATTTATTTATTTTTATTGTTTAGTTGGTGAAAATCAAGAAGTTAAAGTAAAAAATAAAAATAAAAAAAAATCAAAAATTGAAAATATAAGGAAAATATGAAAATTTGTTAGAAAAATTAATTTGGGAAAATTTTGAAAATTCAACAATAATTGATAGGTTAACACAACAAAAACAAAAACAATTAGAAATAATTTTTTGTTGAGAAATTTTTTTTTAGAGGTTATAAGTTTAGAATTTTTATGTCATTATGCTCAGCTTTGCTTTGGACAATGATACAAAATGATGGTGTTGATGATCGATTTCTCAGTATTAATAGTTTTTTGGATAAATTTTTTCCACGAACATTAAAATTTTCAATCATTGGTTTTTAAAAATCTCATAAATATGAGTCCATTGAATGAGACTTGTTGAGAGAAGTAAAAGGAAATCATGGATGAAAGAGTGAAGAAAAGAGAAAATTTTAAAAATAATTTTTTATTTTTATAATAGGTTGAAATGACGTTGTTTTATAAGACTGGTCTAATGCAACTCATGTGTTGACCTATATATTGACTTTGTTAAGACTCAATCTATTTGCAATGAAAAGATTTTTTGTATTTTATTTTTTTAAGCTAAATCTTATATTCGATAATTAATTTAGATATAGGGACTAAATTTGAACATTTATTAAGGTATAAGTACTAATTTCATCGTTTAGTCAAAGTATAGGGACAAGCCATACAATTTGACAAAAATTTATGTGAAAAATGTTGATATGGCAAAAGAATTTTTCCACATCATCATTTTTACCATGTGACCTTGACATGTCAACAATGTTAGCAACTACGTAAACATAAATTCACATTAGAAAATTCAGAATGTCATACAATTAATTTTAATAGAAAAAGTTTAAATCATTAACAATTTGATTAAATTTAACAATTCATTGAAGTATAAAGATTTAATTTGAACACATTAAAATTGAGAAACTAATTTCGTCATTTGACTAAAAATAGAGATCTATTGTATAATTTATCTTATATTATATTTTGTTGTGTATGGACAAGTTTAGATGTTAAAATGGTACAGAGATGTCAAATTTTAAAAAGTACCAATTTAACAACTATTAGATAAATTAAAAAAAAAATGATCATATCCATTAACAAGATCCATATTTTTTACGTATAATAAAAAAATTAAAAAAATAAAATATATAATAATTTTTTAATTTTATTGTGAAGTTAAAAATTTCATTATTAATAAATTAAAAAAGGATCTCAAATTTAAATGTTTATATTTTTACTTTGAGTTCTTATTAATTCTATAATTGGTAAGATAAAATTATCTAGTTAGTATAGATAACAAAACGCTCACCATTTTATTGGAAATCTTATATGTGAGAACATCAAATAAGGCATTGAGGATGTTTTCTTACTCATTATGTTCTTAATCTCAAATGATTACTTCCAATTCTACAAGGTTACCATTCTTTATACAAAAGATTAACATTGATGGTAACTTGGTGGTTCTATTGCAATATAACCATTCGGGGTTTGAGATCTATACATAAAATACACCTTTTGATATAGTGAAAACCCTCCAATTGGTCTCTAGATCCCTTGGTTTGGCTTTATTTTTTATGACATGATATGTGAAATACTAATTAAAGTTTTCTCCTATATATATTGCTTTAGGCCAACATGGTCATGTGTTTACAATAACAAATTGTGTTTTATTTTTAGTTGGTTAAGTCAATAGATAACTTAATTTTTGTATAGTTTTATTGCATAGAAGTGAGAAAAATTATCAAATTATACACTATATGGATCGTGTCATAAAATCAATATAACAATTACTTTTACTAATAATGTAGATTTTGCTTTTAAGCCATCAACATACTTACTATACTATTGTTGCATATTTGTATCCCATTTGTTAGAGAGCAAATAAGGATTAAGAGTCATATGTAAACTAGTTGGGAGAGATGTAATGCATACATAATTCCTTTTTTATGTTATTTCGAGTAGAGCATATGGTGTCACGATATAATTAAAGATGAAATAATATAACAAGTCAAAAATATATCACTCTAAAATGTATTTTAGCTTCATAATTTGGTGTATGTAGTCATGAAATAAGATGCTTTGGTAGACATTAAATTTTGTAAAATGAAAGCTTGAATGTAAGAAAGGTGATGTTAGACTACATTAGTGGGCTATACATACATGCCATGCAAATGTTCACAAGTTAAATGGACATATCGTAAAATGTTGCTTTGATTCACATTTTAAAGTCACAATTAACATATTTAATGTTTATATAGAGCATAACAAAAGAAGTTATTTCTATTTTTATTTATTTCAAATTTGTTTGCCATGAACTAGATAACTTATGTGTTGTAACATTTATCAAATATCAATAGGACATGTTCAACTTCAACAACATTCCAAGCAATAGTTTTCCATCTGATTCTTAACCGATTTTAATGATTCTTGAAGCATTAGATTGCTTTGTTACTCTATTATCCAATGAGATGCAAAAATTTGAGATTCATATGGAGCATTCTCCTAAAATCCTCCGAAACCACAATAACATCATGGTAAACCCTAGTTTTGACCAATGCAGCTTTGAAATCAAAATTCTCTCAAACGAATTGCCTAAAAAATGCGTAAAAATATTCATTAGAAAGCTTAGAGAATGAACTACATAATCGAAAAAACTTCACAAAATTTCATTAATTATAAGTCAAGTTATACTCAAATAAATCGAGACCAAAAGCACACCTAAACTGCCCGAAACATCAATTCTTTCCCATTCCACCTCCACCCCCTTATATCTTCAACCGTAGATAGTGCGTTATCCAACGGTCCACATTTAAAATTACGAAAGACTGCAATCCTCGTGCTAGTCGTCTCCACCAATAAAATTTTATCTTATGGATTCCGTCTCTCTCAATACTTGACTATTTAAATCCCTTCATTTCCATCACCGCACTCACGCAACGAAATTATCGGTACACATCCATATCTTCCATCTCCCAATTTCTGCTGAAACCCTAAACCTAGCACAAACACCAGATCCCTGCAATTGTCATTCATCTATCAAATGGTCACGGAGGAACCAACCGTAGCGGTTGACTCAGCACCCGAACAGGCGGAAGCCAAGTCCGCTGAGACCAAAGCTGGTTCGAAATACGGCAAAGCAAAGAAAGCCAAAGAACCCAAAGCCAAGAAAGCAGCAGCTCCTAAGAAGCCACGAGCTTCTCCTTCTCATCCTCCTTACGAAGAAGTATTTCATAATCCTAAAAGCTAATTTTTTATTGTGTTTGGTTTGGTCTTTTTTTGTATGTTAGATCTGATTACGTTTAAATACCTGATTGGTTTGTTACAGATGATCAAGGATGCAATCGTTACTTTGAAAGAGAAGACAGGTTCAAGCCAGTACGCCATTGGTAAATTCATTGAAGATAAACAGAAGCATCTTCCTGGAAATTTTAAGAAGCTTTTGCTTTTCCATTTGAAGAAAGTTGTGGCTGCTGGGAAGCTGATTAAGGTTAAGAATTCGTTTAAACTTCCAGCGGCTAGGTCTTCGAAGCCGAGTACATATGCTTCTGCTCTGGTTAAGAAGAAGCCAGCGACTACTAGGGCGAAGTCTAAACCTGGTTCGAAGCCGAAGCAAGGGAAGAGTACAAAACCAGCATCCAAAGCTCCAGCAAAGAAAAAAACTGCTTCTAAGACAAAGACTAAACCAGCGGCTAAACCCAAGGCTGCTTCTAAGGCTAAGTCTACTACAACAAAGACAAAGGCGGTGGCAACATTGAAGCCGAAGACTACTGCCGCTACCAAGTCAAAAGCTGTAGCCAAACCTAAGCCCAAGCCTAAGGAGAAGCCGGCTAAGGTTGCCAGGACTTCAACAAGGACGTCTCCTGGCAAGAGGGCGGCTGCCCCTAAGCCTTCTCCGAAGAAGGCTCCCGCGCCCAAAAGGGCTCCGGCGAAGAGCGTAAAGTCACCGGCGAAGAAAGCCAGGTCGAAGAGAGGAAAGAAATGAGAGAAAAAGGATGAGAGGCTAGTCAATCAAGGGGTGGTTTTGTAAATTCGAGTGAAGTTGGTGGGTGTATTTGGGTCCATGTATACCCATTAAAATAGGACATCGGATCTTAGTCTTTTCTTTTTTAAACTTTTCTTTGACTTTTTTTTTTTTTTTTTTTTTTCTGGAGGTTGAATTTTTAATTTCGTTAGTGGTTGTTGAAACAGTTTTTAGATGTAATTTTTAGTTGAACGGATTACGAGATAACATCAGGGCTCTGATATATATTTTTTAATTTTGTTTTTATTCGTTTTCGTTTTCTACTCGTTACCAATAGATTGCAAATTCAAAAATTAGGGTTTTTCGTTGCTTGGAAAGATTGAAGGTTTAAACTTCTTTACAACAACACTGATTCGAAACAGGAAAAAATGCCAGTAGCCATAGTTAAGGTTAATTTCCAACATATATTTTATTTTTAAGGTATTGAAATTCGTGAAAGTCGGGTGGAAAAATAATGATCATAACCGTATAACGACCTTTTTTGGGTCAATTTTTTTTTTTTTTTCCTTCTATCAATTTAATCACATTTTAACAGAAAGATGAAACTTTACAAGTGCCAGTCGGATGTCACATGTACTGCTGCTATAGTTATTTATGTCATTTGTGTAATTTAATTTTCTTCTGTCAGTCGGATGTCACCCACATTTCATGCCAAAGATGAAAGGTTTAAGGTTCTGAATGTTTTAAGGGTTCTTTAATACCTGTTTCCCCACTGTGAACATTATATCTGAAAGAAACGGATTATAAACATGTCATTAGGATAAATAATTGCTTCTGATTTAGCATATCGATTGAAGCTTAATGAAAAAAGTGAAATAGATACTATAGATCTTTTGTGCAGAAGATACTTCCTAGACTTTAATGAGTGCTTGAATGAGAAATGCCACCCAGTTAATTCCTGGCTTTGAGATAATAATTCAAAAATATTCATAAAAGGAGCAGTACCTTCTTGGTTCTTATTGTATTTGTTCTGTTTGTTTCTGGCTTGAAAACTAACATCCATATTCTTTCTTTTGTCGTTGTTGTGCACTGTTTGTATGGATGCATGTTTAATCTAAGAAAATCTTTAAATTTGATGGCAGTAGAAACCATGCTCAGTCTGCATTCATTGAATTGTGAAGAAAATTTGTCTTGCTTAAGTTGAATCTTTAATTGCTCTTTTTTTAATTCCCTTTTGGAGTTCCAATATTAAGCCCCACACCTACTGATACTAGCAGATCCTTTGAAACAATTAATGGAAATATTCTGCTTTTCAGTTTCACAGTCTGAACTGAGCTTAGCTACTAACAATAATTTTACATATAAGCTTCATGATCTTAATACAACCTCGGTAAACATTCCTGGTCATGAATATAGCAAAAGGTTTGAGACGCCTCCTTAAGCCTGCATTTTTTGTTCATAAGTTTGAAACCCCATTAGAGCTGTGCCATTCTTTCCACTTTCTGGATGGTATACTTCAGCTCTTGTTGAACATTTAATCTAGAAGGTGATAATACAATGTCTTTCCAAATTGAACCAGATTCACAAGCAGGGTTGGGGTACTTGTAAAGTTCATATATGGACTCTGCTTCTTCATTCAGCCTGCTCACCTTCTTTAAACAGCCAATCTCATCTGGATCAACTAGCAAAGTCTTGTCTCTGTCTTTCCATCCTATCAACTTCACAAACATTGTTATGTCAATATTACATACTTGATTGCATGGAGTAATTTTGCTGTGAATACAAGTTCCTGCTTAATTTTATTTGTCTATTCCTGGATTATGCTGATATCCATGATTAAGCAGGGTTCATGGCTTTAACAGAAAGCCAATTGTCCTCATCTAATTTAGAACCAGCAATTGAATCTCCTGTATTGAAAAGTCAAACGATGTACATTCACCTTAGGTTCTGTTCTAATATATCCAGGTTCTGTTCCAGCTGTTCTGACCTTAGGTTCCAGAGTTAAAATTCTTAAGAGAACTATGATGTTCCTTTCAACTCTATGTCACCTGATTAAGTGCCCTGGGAAACTAGAGAAATTAACACTAAGAATGAGGGATAGTGAATTCACCTTAGGTGGACCTTCCAAAGCATTGGTGCAATATAGTCTAGCGTTGTCAACCAGTTGGCAGTATGTTGGAAATGCATTTGCAAATCTCTTGTGGGATTTCAATTGTGACTTCACCCTTACAGCTCGTCTACACATTATAGCTCTCCTAAAAATATTGAATTCCTCGATAAAATCAGTATCTCAGGGTAACTGGAAAAAGACTTCTTGCTATGTAGCTGAAAAATGAAAAATAAAAATGTAAGACAACTAAACTTTATTGTTTTTGTATGTGTGCCATACCTTATGCCTCTAATAACTGCTAAATAGGCTTCACAAACAACCCCGACCAGCTCTATTCTGTATGGCTTCCTTTTTTTCCCTCCTTCTTGCACTTGATCTTCTTCGATTTGTTCCCAGTAGTTCTCAGTTACTGTCCCATCAGGTCCTTGCCTGTAACCAGAACCCATACGATATCGGCGGCGATGGACACATCTGGCCATAGTTATTGTTTGCACAACAAATGGTATCCAGGAGAGTGTTCCATCCATGATCACATCCCTCCCTTCATTTAGTGCTGTCACTAGAAGGGATGATGCTGCATCTGTAGATGATTGGTGCACCTGTTTGTAATAATTGTTATTGGGTAATATAGCTCTTAAGTAATCATAAATCAGTACAAGAGTTAAGTAAAAACCCAGCTCCAGTTTGGTAATACCATAAGAAGCATTCAAGTGTTATCAAATTATTCATGTACCTGTATGAAGTAATTTTTGTTGCTTTGTACATTTAAGGTGGTGTTGTTTGTTTCGGTTTTCATATATGAGTCTATGATGACTTAGTGGGGAGAAGAAAACGAAAGATATATTTATAGCCATAGAATGTGGTGATACTTATTCAGGAATGGACCAGCTACTAAATGCAAAAGTGACGTGGAAGGGAAACTCTTCTAGGAATGCGGCAGTGGTAGGATATTGCAGGGTATAGTTACTAGGATGATGGTAACTGGTTACAGATTGATGGAATAAACTACAACCTCAGAGTAGCTCACAAAGCAATTACAGAGGACCTTTGCATTACGGGTGGCAGGAACATTACCTGTACCAGATGCTATTCACGTATGCTTTGCTAGAATGTTGACATTTAATACCTTCTGTTTGTCATACGGCTCAACCATTTGTTCAGGCTTCATGGATTTATGTCTGGTTAATTACTAAAACATATGCGCATAAAACAGAAAAGCAAGCTAGTATTTTATGAGATGTTTGATCTCAAAATTTTTGGCCTAAAGTGCAACTAGCTTGTGTGATAGAGATGCCATTCATAGGATCCACATGGATGAATGAAATAGGGAAATGCATTGAAGTCTTGTTTTTGCAAAATTCCAGTTATATGTAAAATCAATATGAACTATTGTCCATGGTGGGAGAAAACTCAGCTTGTTGCTGTTGTATTGTAAAACCAGTTTCAGTCATTAAGCCTATGCCATTGTCAATAGGTCAAAGTGTCCTTAAGTATATCCATTCGCCTAGCTATCATGGCGCTGTGTGAGACAAGGTCATTAGACCTGAAATGATACCATATGACTGATGGAATTTCAGTTTGCTAAAGAAAGGAGTGGGTGAACTACAAGTTCCAAAAGCGGATGAGGCTGAGAAATTGATTCTTACTAATTCAGCTGTACGGACCATGTCCGCATGGCCTTTGGAGCTGAGGGCTCTGTAGATGACATCTGATTCTTTGAATGCATCTGCCTCAATCACAACTGCATTCCCCGCTGATCCTGCCCAGAATGGTCTGCTCATATTTTATGCAAAACACTTTGACATTAGTTCTTGTAATTGCTCATATTTACGACTAATTTCAAAGCAAATTGTAAATAACATCTATTTGACAGAATGGTTACCAGAAGCAGGAGCAAAAGGAGAGTAATCGTGTGTCTATGTTTTTTAACATTCGACATATCATCTTTTTCGTTAGTTGAATGCTCTTTGATTTTCAATATAGAATGTTTAAAAGCTCTCTAAGAATCTGGGAAGAAAAAAATGCTCTTCAAATGAAACAGTGGTTAAGCTTAAGTTTATATGTAAGCTAAACCTTTTTCATTTCAATCCTTCCTCCACCTCTTAAAACATTGAAATACTACAAATTATTCAGTTGGTCTTACTCTTATTTTTTTAGGGTACGGGGCTTACTCTTTGAGGATGTCCTTAAGCACGGTGCTCTTCCCGGCTCCCATCCCACCTCCCATGAATAGCAGCACTGGACTTCTATCACTGTGAGCCACTGGAGCCATCACCTCTGTACATTGGGAGTCATCAGTTGATGTAAGCCCCATTGCTTTCATTTCTTCCACCAATGTAGTGAAAACTCTAGCCACCTTCAGATTTTTTGTCACCCTCTCAAATCTTTGTTCCCTATATTAGAAAAGATACTAGAACTGAGTTTTATTCTGATTATATCATGCAATTTTCTTGGAGGGATATTCAAAATTGTCTACCTCATTTCAATATATATTTCAATCTAGTTATTATGATCTGACAATAACAATGAACAGAACAATAATGGCTAACCTAGTTGCTGCCATGAAAATCTGCTTGAGCTTTTTCTTGGGTTCAGCATCAGAACTTAATACCTGAATGAATGTGACACAAAACAATTCATTTACTCTATGTTCCCATCGAATACACAAAAAAAAAGAAGGAAAGAAAAGAAGAAGAATGAGTCATTCTTCATCAATCATCAAAATTCTAACATTTATACATTCCTCCAAGATATATATAGATGTTTATTACCTGACTAGTCATAAGATCTGCATGGCTCCAATGGAATGCAAAATAACTAAGAATGCTTCTCTCAAATTCCTCTATAAGCTTAACAAAGAGGGAATCCACATCTGGCTCATTGGAGAAGAATGTATGTATATCATCTTCACAACCTTCGGATTTCCTGATGTATTCTGATGCTAACTTGCAGAGCAAAGGGCATTCTCTTCTATCCTTAAATCCCATCTGCCTAGCTGGAAATAGTAAGACACGTATAAAAGTGAGAGCGACAAAGGGCTTGAAATATGTGAACTTGGAGCTTAGCTTAGTTGATTCAAGCGGTCACTCTTAAAAAATAACATCTAATATAAATAGTGTTTGAATCCTAACATCTGTAATCATTTCTCCTAAGACTATTCCCAGGTTAGGTCTTCTATGTACCAAAAGA